CTTTCTCCCTCTCTCTCCCTCTCCTTTCCTCTCTCTGAAATCAATAAAGATATATTAAAATATATATATATATATCTTTATTGATTTCAGAGAGAAGAAGGGAGAGGGAGAGAGACAGACAGAAACATCAATGATGAGAGAGTCATTGATCAGCTGTAGCCCGAAACCCTGGGCATGTGCCTGAACGGGGAATCGAACCCTGTTTCCTGGATCCTAGGTCGATGTTCAACCGCTGAGCCAGCCCTGCTGGGCTCCAGTTTCTAATTGATCTTTCTCTTATATGTGCTGATAAATCAAATATGCAAATAAAGTTCAGTTGTGAGGCTTTCTGCTTTCAGATAAGTCAGCGATTTTCAACCGGTGTGCAAGAATTTTTAAAACACACAATACCTGAATATTTAGTCAGGGGCACTGACCTCTTTTCCCTTAGATTGTCAAATAAAAAAAGTGATAACAGCCAACACAACAATAGCCATCTGGTGTGAATGAATTGGAATTACACCTTTTTGTGTGTGTCAGATCTGCAAAAAATATGCTTTTTGGTGTGCTGCAGAATTTTAGTAATGAGTTTATGTGTGACATGAGATGAAAAAGATTGAAAATCACTGAGACAAGTTGAGCTGGACTAAGTCTTAGGAAAGCCGCTTTTTGAAGTCTCATCCCCTTGACAGATATGTACACAGCATCTATTCTGCACAAGTCACAGTGGAGGCTACCGATCTGTGTGAGGCTCTCTCTCTGCCCTCTAGGAGCTCATGCATGGATAGGAGAGGGGCTTCCCAAACAGCAAGCCCTGATCCATATCAAGTCCTCCTTTTTCTGCTCACCGCCACAGCCAGCCCTTCACCGAAATCAAATCCAAGGTGGTCCCACCTCCCCAGTATCTCAAACCCCTACCCTCTTTTCCTCACTCCAGATCTGGCCTCACTGTTTTTCTCCTTCACTGGTGCAGTGTTCCTCCAGCTTCTGTTGCATCAGAACTAGCTGCTCTCTTGCATGTGTGCTGGCTGCCGAGGTCATGACAGCACACCTGACCCTGCCACTCCCTTTTAAACCCATTGCCTACACAGCCATGCCTCTCTCCCTCCCGCCAGGCTAGCACACAGGACCCTGTTGCCTGAAGCCTCATCTCTTTTATGCGCTGCAACCTCAGTGTTTTGTTTTTCTGAATCCCCTGGGCTCTTTCATTGCTTTTACCTTTGAATGTGCTGTTCCTTCTGCCTTTCCAGCCTAAAAACCTCATCCCTAAAAACCCAGCTCAGAACTCATCTCCCCTGAGAAGCTCTCCTCCCCTAGGCTGAGTTGATTGCTCTCTGGCTGGGGTTCCCAGAGCTGTTCCTAGAAACCTCTGCCAAGACCTTGTCTTTTTTTTTTTTTTTTTTTT